TGCACACATAAAAAATTAGTTATTATTATTTATTTACCCAAATTAAAGGATAAAAATAAATGTGTCAGGAGAGGTCAAGAAGCCAACAGGCTTATATGAGGGACCTCACCTTTCTCAAAAGTCAAAGAAACCAACAATTTACAATACAAAAAAGAAAAGAGAGGAAAAAGAGAAGAGAACAGACTATACAAAAAAACAAAAACAAAAATGACAATTAAAACATCCAAAAGCAAAAATCTACACAAATATGTAATTGAAAAACTATTTTAGATCACAAAAACTCAATAGAATTGACAAAAAAGGGCAAAAAAGGGCATATAAAAACATACTTAAATGCAATGTAGTTAGGCATACACAATTAAACTTCATGAATTAGGTGAAATGACAATTTCCATTTAAATTTTTTTAAAGATGATGAGCTCATAACAATATGTCTTTTAGCATTCCATATTTGCACACCAAGATATCTGAGGGAAAACTGGCCGTGTTTAGTTCTATAAAAAGAAAGCTGAAGTTAGTCAACCTGTCTAGTAGTATAAGAATGAAATTGGGAATTTAACATGAATTTTTTTTTTAAAGAAGATGGTAAAAAACAGGGTGAAAACATGTATTTATATATAAAAACACATATCTGATGAATATTGATGTTGTACACAGACAGGATATTCAGTTTTTTGAAGAGAGGGGCAGAGGGATCTGTTGTGTTCACTTTATCTCTCTGTCAGTACCATATCAGTCCGCTTGTCAGACTGGCTCCACAATAAAACCACCAGCCCTTACTTTTTATGTCACACTGTCAAACATTAACCAGAACACATTCCTTTGTGATGTAATGAACAAACAACATGACCATATTTGGCCCAGAGGATCTCATAAAATGTGTGGAAAATATACACAGTAGATTACCAACGAACTAAACCACTGGAGGTCAGCAGTGTTGCATGAGCGCATTCAGAAGGTGCAGAGCTGCGTTAACTCACAGATCTGCCAACCAGTAGCACAAAAATAAACCATCTGTCTGTACAACAAAGCTGATATATTTTACTCCCAGAAAGAAGTTCACTATGTTTCATTTTAGTAATTCATATACTCCAAATTTATTTTGGCATTTTTTTATTGATAAAATAAACATACGATCACAGGATGAATTCAACTAGACATAAAACATAACGCCGCACCCCAAAGTGCAGTGGTGTCCATATTAAAACAGATCCATATAGCTGAATGTTGTTTAGTTAAATGGCTGCCTGGATACAATAAATGGCTTAAAAATCAAAGATATGAATACAAAAATACTCTACAATATAAGTTGAAGAATAAAACAGCTGAAGACAAAACTGCAGGTGACCAGAAAACGGATACTGCACCTGATTACATGTGCTGACAGGGTAAATAGATTTCAGACAACTGTTTAGTTATGACTGAATGGAAAAAACTCATCTGTATTTAAATTCATATTTGCTCATTTCATCCAACATACACAAATCTCATGCTGAATGTGTTGCTTCAAAACATTTTATACAAGGTCAAAAGCTAAAAGGTTCTCTGTGCTGTTTGACTCCAGGAAAGTTTGGTAATCTCTGACCGATTTTGGATAAATAAGGCACGGGGCGATTTCTGTAACTCATTAACTATGTTAAATGTTCCCCTGCAGCAAACAGGACTTTGGCCCATGCAGTCACATCCGGCTCCTGCGCACACAACAGAGTGAGGCAAGCTTGAAGGCACTACTACTATATACAGAAAAGCTTTGACACAGCACATCACGAGCATTGAAAATCCTACAGTATAGTGTGCAAATTTCTAAATATGATTACACATAAGTACTTCTTTGCTAACAGTAGGTAACTCTCAGTAGCACATAAAGATAAATGATATGTAGTTCACAGTGTGGGCTGCTTCACTGTGCCTGCAGAGCCTGGACGATGTTGAGGCCTGGGCCGGGGGGCAGCGTCCAGCCGTCCTGGCCCTGGTGGGTCTGCAGCAGGCAGTACAGCTGCTTTAGGTGGGTCACTATGTTGTCTTTGATATCTGGGATTGAGATCTGCAGGCGGACGCTGCCGCTGTCGAAGGACCTTGTGTTGTCTCCAGAGAACATCTCGCTGATCATTCGGGCCACCACTGGAATGATCTGCAGAGCAGAGGAGGGACAGAGGACCAGTATGAGTCACACGATCAGAAGCTAAAAAAAGACTGTAGCTCATCAAAGAGACCTGTGGTTCACATTAGGTCTGGGCTAATAATAAAATGACACTTTCAAACATAAATTTGGTTTCCAATGATTATGAAAACAACAGTAGAGATAAAGCGATTATAGTGCTGCACTCTGTTTTGCAAGGTTGCCCTGGTTTTATCTGGTGTTATACATCCAGCGCACCCCTTTCCTTAGTAGTGGTTCTCAGTGTTGCCAACTTGGTGACTTTCTTACTAGATTTAGGGACTTCTCAGATGCATTTAGTTCATTTCTAAAAAGCAACTAGCAACAAATTTAGTTAATTATTAGGACCATTAGTGAAATGTAAGCAAATATATTTTGCAACTCCAGTTCCAAAAAAAGTTGGGACACTGTGTAAAACATAAAGTAAACAGAATGCACTGATTTACAATTCCTTTTCAACATACAGTGAGGAAAATAAGTATTCAACACGTCAATTCACTGCAGCTATTCACATAAAATTTAGACCAGACATTGGTATTCACTAGATAAAACTACACAGATAAAGGAATCATAACATTTCAGTCCATAAAAATGATGTGCAATAAAGTGGAACAATACAGGGGAAAAAAGTATTGAACACCCTAACAGAAATGTATTTAAAACTTGACAGAGAAACCTTCAAGATGCTTCTTGTATGAAGAAACTATTGTCTCACAGTGTTCAGATAAGATTTAGGATGATCTTGAGAAACAAATTTCACTTTCAAAACTTCAACAATTAGTGTCCTCAGATCCCAAACACATACTGAGGGTTGTTAAAAGAAAAGGAGATGTAACACAGTGGTAGACATGCCCCTGTTGGAATGTGTTGCAGCATCAACTTCATAATGAGTGTTTTTTTTTTTTTTTTACAAAAATCAAGTTTATCAGTTTGAACATTAAATATCTTGTTTTTGTGTTGTATCCAATTAAATATGAGTCAAAAAGGACTTGCAGGTCATTGCATTCTGTTTTTATTTACATTTTGCACAGTGTCCCAATTATTTCGGAATCGGGGTTTTAAATCATTCCTATGCATGCTGCTCGGAGTTATTTTTATACAGTCTACGCTCGGAGTCATCACAGTCCACAGCTCTTCTGTCAACACTGAGTCTTTCCCTCTCCTCTGGCAATGTGTTTATATTTACTTTTTATTGATTTTATTTATTCATCTCTTTTTTTCCACATGTATTTTTTTTTTGTTGAACTGTATTCAAAGTCAAGAAAATCCACCATTAGGCCGGTCTTTTTCAAAATTCAAAAAATGCGTTATGTTTCCAAAGTCAATGAGTCATTGTGTTAGATAACTGATCTTAATATTGACCAAAATAAGCGTGATTATTTTTGTCATTATCAGGCAGGTCCAGTGCCCATGTAACTAGATGAACAGCTGTTCCTCAGTATGATCAGAGTTGTGTGAAATAAGAGCTGCAGCAAACGAAGCAGCTTTACTTTTATTTTCTGCTCGTGTCTTTTTGCATTTTTCATTCAAAACTTTTTTTTCAAGCAGTGAAATATTCCTTTGTATATCATTTTTCTTATGGAGTAAACTTTTCTTTCAACTGATGCAAACAAGGATGAAGTTTGTTCATGCACAGCTATAAAGTGAAGCGTGATAACGGCTGCTTCCTGGCCTGTATTGTCCCACCGTGGTTCATTACTTCTCATTACAAACATTTCTCACCTGAACCATGATGAGTTTCCTCTCTCTGGGCCTCCCATCAGGCCACTCCTCTCCAAAACACAAGCTGATTTCAAACTGTGGAGGGATTGGTGTCTGGCCGCGCTGGTGGGCTATCACTCCTGCAAACCATACAAACAGATTCATTAGAATTTCTTCACAGAGAGTATTACATTTTTACGAGTTGCAGAGACCATCATTTAATTGTCCCAATAAAAGTGAAAATCCTACTTACCACTGAGAAAAGACTCCAGGCAAAAGAGTTTGACCTTCCTCTGGCGCTCTATAAGATTTGGAGCAGCTGGATTTGGAGCACAGGGACCAGACCAGTACACCTTACACTGGCAGAGACGCACCGCGTAGATATCATGGCCGCTGACCTCCAGGATTAGGCCTCTGTCCATCACGTCCAACAGGCGGTTAGTGAAAACTCTCTGCTTGTCGTTGGTGATGTGCTCTGTGGTTGGAAAGCGTAGCTGTTCCAGGTTCACCGGCCCGAACAGCTCCTCCTGGTTGACCATGGGGCCAAGGTCCCCGTAGAACAGCCTGCAGCCGTGTGGGTTACTGATGTTCGCTGTGGGACACATCTCCTTCCCTCTGTACAGGAACTGCACCTCCAGGTCTGTCACTGGGTCAGAGACAAATGTAGACACATGTTAAAACCATGTTTGATGAAGTTATGTTTTGATTTAAAAGGGACAGTTCACCCAAAAACAAAGTTTCTCCTACTCTACCTGAAGTGCCCCCAACATTTGGTTAACTGTAGGTCAACTGTCATTAAAAACTATGCTGATGAAATTATATAATTGTCTTACTGTCAAAAAATGAATGAATCCTTTTAACATGTAGTGGCTGTGTGGGTTATTTCTCTGTGCCATAGACCTCCATTTAGGGGTGTAAGTGCTGCAGGACAGACTGGAACTCCACCACTTCTTTGCTCCAAGTGAGGAAATAGAATATTCATGTAATCCAATTAAAATTTAACTAATTCTTTTAAGTGCCTGAAGATAAAGCGTCTACCTCCAGGGCTGAAAAATGACGCTGATGCAGAAGAGCCCAAATCTGGAGTTCTTTCAATCACCACTAGATTCTGACTTCAGAGGGGAGTCAGTCCCCACAGACCCCCATGTTAAAATACCAAACTTTACAGCAGAAATAAACATGTTTACATCCTGGTACAAAAACAGTTTTAGTCTCTATAGCTAATTTCAACATTCATGACAACTGTCATGTATGTTATATAGCTCACCCATTGTCATTTTACTAAGGCTTAAAGTTATGCATAATTAAAGGTGGGGATGCTTTGAGTAGCTGGCTCCAAAAATCCAAGTGGGCAATGGCAAAAATATTAAACTCAAAGCCTCAAAATGTGTGTACACAGTGAGTGTTGTCACGGTGGCTTATTTCTACAGTGTATGTTGTAGATCCAATCATCACTGAAGCGTATGTCATGCAAGAAATCCAGTCACAACACATGTAATGATCAAAGCTGTCATATTGTCATTTAAGGTGTGTTTAAATCATTTTTATCCCAATTCAAGTCGCTGACGTGGAAGTTAGCTGCTCGGCCAGCATAAGTCTCTAGTGCGCTTGCCCTATGGGCCCCATAATGTGGAAGACCCAGGTAATTTTGTACTTGGAAATCAAGCTTTTCTGGCTTTATGCACCCCTGAACTACTTTTATAAGAATAAACAAGGCTCTGTCTCCCATGCTGTATCCAATCCTCTTTATACATCCATGAATCAACCCCACATGCTGCTGAATCCTCACCAAAATCACAGCTAAACACAGTCGACAACAAAGAGACAATTACTCCTTTTTGAATATTGTTTAATAAAAACTACAATGCCCAGCTGTTTTAGGGAATTACTGGGTTGAGCTTTGGTAGCAACCCTGAAAGCTACAGCAGGTATCCTCACACCTCAGCCTGTTGTACTGAATCGATCTAAATAGTGCAGTATGAGAAACTAGAAAACCAACTAGAAGAAGTGCATGCTTACTTGGGAGGGAACTGATCCATGTTTCTGGAGATGCAAACAAGGCGTCGGGCAGAGGTGGGGGCTGCATTGTGGGATCGGGCAGAGGAGCAGGAGGCATGTCAACAAGGGCTGTGGGCTGCATCTCCACATCCACGGGCTCCTCTTTCAGCCAGGTTTTAACAGGCTCCTCTTTGGGCCAGACCTCATTTGAAGGGGGGCAACTGGAAGGCTGCATGGGGGAGTCTGAGCTCATTGGGGACCACATGATGAGAGGAGACGGACTGGTGCCTCGACGAGGAAAGAGAGAAGAATGAATTAGTTTTTATCAGCAATTATGTTTCTCTTTGCTTTTTGATATACTGGCAGGGAGTAATAAAGAAAAGCGAAATTGTGAGGAGAAGTCATTCACCATTGGATGGGTACGGAGGGAGAGACTCTGGTGTATTTGGAAGGTCTTCCTCACCCCCATCTTCCTCACCTGGAGTCCAAGAACCAGCGTCCGAGGAGCCTGTTGGGCGAGAAACTGTACTTTTAAAAAAAGCGTAAACATGATTATATGTGAGTGAGATGGAGGTAACTTGAGGATGAAGAGACTCAGTCATATTCCATTGCGTCCTATTTACCCTGATTACTTAGGGGCTGTGGGATGTCACACACATCATAAATCTTCAAAGGATTCATGGGGACCTCTTTGGTGCCATCGTAGACCAGGTTGAATTCTCTGCTTTTGTTCAGCGCACATCGGAGCTGAGCTTTCCACTTAGCAGGATCAGGTTCATCAACTCCCTCCTGGAACTTCCCGGTCTCCACAGCCCACGCCTGGAGGAACATTTTAACAGAACGGAGGTATCAATATTACAGTCCTCTTTGAACACTTTGATTTTGTTGCACGGGATCCACGTTTTCAATTTTTTCCCCAGAGGTAGTTGATGTGGCTTCTGCCCAAAGACATACCCAAGATAATGGGCAATATTTTTTTACATCATGTAGATGACTGTGCATGAGACATGGTAACAAACCATGGAATGAATTTACAGCTATAGTAGATGTTGAAAAAATTTAAGGGGCGGATCACTGACAAAGACTTTCTTTCTCATGAAGTATGTCTACAATGTCACCCAGTTTCTGTGTTAAACACCAACATGTTTTTGTAACGTTACACCATTCTTTTCTATAAAAACACACACACACACAGACACACACACACACACACACTGCCTCTCGCCCGATGTCAGCTGGGATAGGCTCCAGCATGATATGCAAAAAAATTTAAAAAAGCAATTATTTTGACAGGTATTGTGATTACGATATGAGTCGCAACTTTAGTGGGAATAGTCATTTTTGCCTGTCATTTTCATACACATAAAAAAGTATATATGTATGTATATAAAAACTGATGATAATGTTATTTTGCTGGTGTCTGTACCAAACAAGCATGTTCCCTTACATCTGAAATATAATTTGTAGGCCGGGGCATCATGTCAAAGGCTGATCACAACATCCTTATTGCAAAATTACAGAAATATGGCTTCATGATGTTGCTTTATAATGGCTAATGGTACCTCGGGGCTCCATACTTGGACCTCTTTTGATCTTCATTTACATAAATGAACTACCTAGGGTCTGCAAAAATGTACTGCTTTTTTGTATTAGCTAAAGATACATGTCTGGTATCCTCACATGAAATTTTTAGCACACTCATTCGAGAAGCAAATGAAGAGCTATCGTCTATTTTTAAATGGTTTCAGATGAACAAAGTCTCTGTCAATATAGAAAAATCTAACTTCATGCTATTTTGTAACATAAACAAAAAATATAACAAAGATAACACTAAAAATGTTCATAGACAACATCAAAATAACTCTGGTTCCTTACATTAAATTTCTAGGGGTCAACTTATACCCTAATACCCTATTGAACTTGTCCATAAATAGACGATGAAGTCGATTGGTATCTTAAGTAGTGTTCGTTCATTGGTCGATCATTCCTGTATTTTAACTTTTCATTCCAGCTTAATTTGCCTTCATATTATGTACTGTAATACTGCTTGGACTGCCACATGTCCAGCTTATCTTAATAAGATTTTTCGTATTCAAAAGAAATTTCGGAGAGTGACTAACTTTGCTAAAAAATGCGAATCATCTGCTTCTCTCAAGAAAATATTTATCAATTTTTAATGTTAACATGTAAGAGAATTGTGTATTCATGTATAAATATGTACATCTCACTCATGATTTGCCAGAACTTTAAGTTTTCCTCAGACATTCACTCATTTTCCATGAGATGCTTTAAGGACCTTTATCTTCCGTGTGTTAATCAATATTCACTGAAATACAGAGGACCATCTCTTTGGAACAACATTCTTCATCTCTACAATCATCATCTACTTTATCGTTATTCAAATAACATCTGAAAGGGACTCTAATTTGCAAAGACTCTTAATGCTTCATTGATTCATTTGTAATTTGTTTGTGTTTCTTTTTTGTAAATTGTACATCTTCAACAATTTTGTAATACTTCTTAGTCTGAAACTCTTATTCGATTATGCAATCTTCACTTTTATCTTTTTCTATTTAGGTATGATTGTTGTTATTTAATAGGGGGGGTATCTTCATGAGCCATTTTTGGCTTCTGACCTCTGCTGCACAATGTTTTAACTTTCAATTTCTTGTTCCTGTATTTTCTATACATGTATGTGCAAACAAACTAAACTAATCTCTGTAGCACCATAATGGTATGTTGTGACATATTTGACCTTTATCAGAAAATAGTTTTGGATATTGCAGTTGGCCATATTGAAATTTCAACACTTTTTAATTTAATTGTTCAGCTCTGACACAAATACATAACACAACTCTAGTACCTTCCTACCTCTCCCTGACACTCTACAGTGACTCCATGACCTTCCTAATGCTACAAGCCTGAGAGAGGCCTTATGTAAGAGAGTTGCAAAACCAGATGTTGCTCCAGAGACTTTTTAAAGCATATTTAACAGGTATGAACGAGTATTACCTCGCTTAGACACAGAATAAATAACATGAATTAAAAATAACTGAGTGCCCAACTCCCTGCATGTGCAGCAGTGCCAACATTTCTAACTCCTGTCTGTGTGCCTCAGGGTAAACAAACACTTCATCAGACACTTCTCTTTGAGCTGAACTTTCTGTCACAGAGACATCTGTTAAGTGTTAACCTTAAATATGGTGTCCTCGTCCTCGTGCTGGGGCGTGTGTCGTGTGGCGTGTTTCCACGGGATCCTGAAGCGCATGGCCTCGCGGTCAATCCACACCAGCCCCGGGTACCTGCCGCTGTCCACCTGCGCGACCAGCCAGGGCTTCAGACGGACACGTCGAGGGGTGACCGACATCCTGGCTGACAAGACGACACAAATCGGTCAGTCCACAGCACACTGCTCCTCTGAATACTCTCTACAACCAGACAGCTTTAATAAACTCAGTGACAAACAATGATGCAGCATTGTTCACAGAAACCCTGCACGTCCGGATTTTCCAAACATTTTAAACACAGCCTCACTCTGACAGGCGAACAGAACTATGAACTTGTTAATCACATTTCTGCAGCTGCTTCCAGGTGAGACCTTATATGTATGATATGACATCTTTAAATGTGAGAAATACACACGAATTAATCCTCAACTCAAATAACCAAAGCGACCAAACACGATACTAAAGAACGACACATACCTGCGGCGAACCAGGAAGTTGGAGAGGTCTGTCCTCGTCTGCCTGTGAACCAGCAGCTGGAGATAAAACCGCGTTTCCTGCGAAAATTCCCAAAAACTCCTGCAGAGTTCCTCCAAGGAAAACTTCACAGATAATCTCTTGTACGAATGAGGGTGAGGACAACGATAAATTAATGTCGGAGGACTCAGAGAAGCCGATGTTGTTCACTCCCGCTCGGCCCTTCCCCTCTCCTCACCGAAACTCAGGTACAGGCGTGACGTCATGCGGCTGACACACCTTTTCTGAGCAGCTGAGGGGGGGGGGGGACGCTTTTCACGAAGCACGTGCACAGGACACTATTTTTCCACCTGAGCACCTAAGCCGTTCACTGTGAGCCATGCGCAACCCATAATACTCATAAATAAATAAATACATTTATTATGATTTGTTATAAATTATTTTTATACATAAAATATATATAATTATCCCAATCTGACAAAAAAATCTATATTTTTTTGTATGATTTGTTATCATTTATTTTTTATATATAAAAATAAATTATAACAAATCATATTAATTGTAATTATTTTTAATTTATTTGTCAGATTAGGATAATTTCATATAACTGATTATTCTTGGTAAAATATGTCTGAATCATCCATTAACAGGAAGGCTGTTAAATTGTTTTTCTTTTCATTAATTTTAGTACTCTCTTTTTCATTTTCTTCCATTCATGTTTGTCTAATTTTTTAAATGTACACATTCTTCATTTTTACATTATTTGGTTTGAATAGCACGAGAAGATACACACACTCTACTGTGTATCTTAAGGCTTAAGGGTTTAACTGGTCTCTGTCTAGACTGCACATCCACTGGCCCACATTGTACACCAGCAGACAATATTTATGACTCACACAGAGCGGGGGTTTCCACTGTAAAGAACAACACATTCACTGTGAGAAGGCACAACACAAGTGGACGGTTGGTGATGATGATCCTGTCACTAGTAGTAGCCAAAACAGTCCGACAACAACAAGCCACTCCCTGAAACTACTCACGGCTCTGAGAGCGTGTGTCCAACATCCAGCTGTGCAAATTTGTCTTTTGGGCTTCCTGGTTTCGCAATCATATCGATAATGAGCCTGTGGCCATGTGTGTGTGTAATGCTAATTGTTTGTATTCTAGGATGGATGGTTGTTTGAGGCTGTAGTGTGAGTGTGATGGGCTGTTTTGGGTCCAGGTGCCTGTAGCATCACAAAAGGATGAAGGAGCCCCCCAATTATGTATGCAGTGTCTGAGGGTCAGAGCCCCCAACATAATTTTAACATGAAAAGGACTGTGAGGGGTCAACAAATGATCAAAGGGATATAAAAAAAGAATCCTGTTACAGTTGGGTCCATTTGATCAAACTTTGTTCTATCTTTGCCTTCTTGTTATGAAATACTATTTCACAACGCTATTTTTGTAAATCATTTAGTAATCAATTTAACTATTTATATCTTTTCTCTATACCCTTTTCTATATCCTTTATTATGTTTTATATGTTTTGCTCAGTAAAGCACTTTGAATTGCCCTTGTGTATGAAAGGTGCCATACAAATAAAGCTGCCTTGCCATACCGGATTCTTTTCTGTTTTCAGGCCACTAAAAATGATTCAAATGAGATGATCCTTGAAGGCAAAACTCCCAGACTGTCCATGGGACACACAAAGTCATTAAAAGAACAAGTGGATAACTTAAGCAAATTTTGCCAGTCGTTCTGTGCACTGATAAAATATTTCTGCTCGGCAAGAGTGTGCATGCACTTACACACGCACGCACACACGCACACACACCATCAACACCCAAATCCATGCACAAACACTATGGACCATCTTGTTTTACAAAATATAAGTTCTATTGGATCTTACAGAGCTGTCTACAACATAAATGTTGTATATGCTTCTTGCTAAACACTTGACAACAACTTTTATTCGGTCTCACAAAGGTACTTTCTGCAACATTTGTCATTTACTTTCAGAAATGTGCACCCATCAAAATTAAGGCTTTTTCTTTTTTAACCATAACCTCTCCAGCCAGCAATCATGGCAGCATCCCTAACCAATCTAATGTGGAACTTTAATTCAGGAAAACAGTTGTTAGCTTGTTGCTTCCAGTTACTTTGCTTTTAGTGATGCAACAATTTGAGGGACAACTTTAAGGGAAACAACTGGAAATGCACACATCCTGACAGTTGTCGATAAACAAAAATGATAAACAGTCAAATATAAAAGGATTCAGACCAGAGGCTGATTAAAGGACAATGTTACACGATTTCGATAAAGCTTTTATTGTTTATTTCAAAATATACAGTACTGCCTAGTGAATCTGCATCAGTGTAGGAAGTGCTCAACATGTGATCTATTCAAAGTATAAATTAGTTTTGCTGTAAAGGCTTTACAAAAATACCTACGCTTCTGTAATGGCTCAAAAAAGAGAAACCTCAGGTAGCTCCACTGTGCAGTAAGCTACACTACAATTATAAAAATGAAGGGGTCTCAAATTCTTTTAGTAATTGGCTTTACCTAAACACATAAAGTTCAACATGCATTTAATGTCAAACAGCATGCAGTGGCAATAATGGCACTTAATAGACACTGGACAGAAATTATGGTTTTTTTTTCAGAGGAAGCACCTGAACACTGATACAGCTGGAGAATATATGTTATTAACCTGTCTTTGTAATTAGTTTCAGTATTTCAGAAGTAAAAAGACATTTTATCATAAAGCAGCATACTGACTCCATTTTTTTCACCATGACATGTTGTCACCATAGTTTAAAAGTATGTGTTTTAGAAGCATGTTAACAGTATTGATAGCAACCTATTTGTCAGAGGAAATTGTTTCCATTGTCCGTTTCTGCAAACCACAAATACATTATATTTGCACGCTTTATTCGCTTCGTATTAATGTTTCTAAAGTGATGTAGCTGAAGAGGTGGAGAGGATGGTGCATGGTGTGTAGCCTGGGCAAGGCGCCTGCCAAGCCGCAGACCACTGCAGACCACCGTTTGAAACCAGCTGTGTTTTAGTGAGTCATTGCTATGTTTGCATCAACTTTTTGGGCTACAAACATGGGTGTTTAGTAGAAACTTGTCTGCGGGGATAGTGGCATAAAAACTGATTGTTTTAAACAAAGACATCACTACTTTTCCTGCCAGGATTGTGCCCCAGAAACTGGGTATTTTAAGCCAAAACATGATCTTTTACTAAACTAACCACTTCATTTTTGTGCCTTAACATAACCACACATTAACCACAGTGTTGTTTAATCATGAAGTTTAAAGTATCTGCTACACCAGGGGTGTCAAACTCATTTTAGTTCACCAGCCACATACAGTCTGATTTGATCGCAGGTGGGTTGGACCAGTAAAACCATTGCATAACACCTCCAAATCTGACCCTTTTTTTGTTGAAAGAAGAACATTTTTAAAAACGCTAATCCATTGACAAAACAAATGACAAACAGCCTGTGATGCCTTCTGAGGAATATATGCAATTTCAACAATATTTCTCATTTCTTCCACAGACTACAACTCACTGTCGTTACATGTGCATTTATCTATACATTTCCACTCCTGTGTAGTAATCCTGACAACACCACACCAAATTAAACTGACAGAAAGGAACTGTATTCCGGTCAGGTAAAAAGCCTCTGAAGCAGCATTTTACATAAAGAAAGTTACTCCTGCTCCTGAAACCTGGCACCTCTTAGCCTTCACAAGTGCATCACTGTTAGGAGTGCAAGGTCATCCAGTGGGCCGGATTGGACCCTTTGACCCTTAAGCCCTGTTTGACACCCCTGTGCTACACAATAACGTGCAGATAAGTAACTTATCCATGGTTTGCAGAGACGTACAATACCAACCTTTTTATCTGGTGATTGGGTTGGTAGAAGCTTTAATATTTTGGATAGATAGAAAGTCCTTGCTTGGCTCATGGATGTGTGAGGAAAACCATGAGAGATTGGTCCCCATCATTTTATCCTGATGATGACTGGTGGGCTATCCTGAATCCACGTCTCCTGCTGTGGCACAGTTATATAAAAGTGTACAACTTAGGATCCACAGAGTTGGAGAGATTAGCTGTTTTTTGTTTTCATCTCTCCTTGAATTTTCTGGACGATGTGTGTGAGGTCCATACACTCTGTTAGTGTCATCAGCAGCTCTTCGTCATTCTGAATCCCCTCCATGAACTCCTCATAGGATAGTTCACCTGGAAAACAAACACACACACACTGAACTCAAATATTTTAATACTGGTGGCTCGAAATTCATATCTAGTACATGATTTGCTAAGGTTAAGATATTTAGTTTTACCCCATCTACACCTCCAACACAGCTGATCACCCCCATTAGGTTCCCCTTTTGGTCTTACCATCTCCATTGATGTCAATCTTGTCAAACACCATGTTGGCAAAGTCCTCTGCCGATGTCTCACACGGAATTCCATTGATTGCACGGATGGACTAAACATGACACAAAGAGAGGAGATCATGTCACAATCTGACACATGTAATGTTGCTTATATTTCTCCAACCAGTAGATGTCAGCTCAGTGTCAGCTAATTGCGTCTGCACCTTGTATAACACACCCCACAACCCTGAATAGAATAAGCGGTCACAGATAATGAATGAACCTTGTATAACACACTGTACGTTCCGCGACGTTCTTCTAAGCCTGGGGTGGGATTTCAGGGCCTTTTATCTCAATCACACCTAAGTGGTCTGAGCAGGTTGTCTCAGGACAGTACCTGGGATTTTCTCTGGTCTGTCACTAAGCCAGTGCAGGTGAGATGTGGATGAGGAAAAATACGGAATGAAACAAAGTCAAGTCAATCAATATCATTCCTGTAGGGTTTTTTTTTTGTTAGTTGCTTCCCCAGTTATTGTTAATGACTGATAAAAAAGAAATGAGGGGTGGGAGCATGAACTTTTTTCAGCCTCTGGAGGGCCTGACAGAAAAAAGTTAGAGAATCACTGCACTAGGTTATGCGGCAAGCTTTACCATGAACCCTCATGCACACCTTAATGATGAGAAGTAGCTCGTCACGGTCGATGCAGCCGCTTCCATCTATATCATACAGTTTGAAGTACCAGCGGAGCTTCTGCTGCACTCCTCCCTTTAGCACCAGGCTCAGAGCAGCTACATACTCCATGAAATCAATGTAGCCATCCTGCAGGAAGAAAAGAAGACCATGAACATTAGCAGAATTAGTCTTTAAAGGCCCAGTTTGTAGGATTTAGTGCCATCTAGCAGTGTGAACTACGTTGGCCGAGGCAGACTCACAAATGGCCCTATCTAGAACCAGTGTTTGGTTTGTACATTCTGGGCTACTGTAGAAACAACATGGCGGACTCTTATTATATTCAATTTCTGCCAGTATATCCCCCTAAATCCTGCACACTGCCCCTTTAAATGTAACACTTTGCTATTAGAGCTGGGCACTATATCGATATCATATCCAAATGATCTATGATATGAGACTAGGTATCATCTTAGATTTTGGATATTGTAATATCATAACACTGAAAACACACTAAGAAGCAGCAAAGTGCGGCTGGGAGGCGTGTTCATGTGTTTCAGGTAGGAAGAAATTCTTTGTATCATAGGTCAACATGTCACATGAGTCACAGGACTCTGTTTACTGATTGGCTGCGGGTATTATCTGGCTGCAATTCACCGCTAAAAGTTAAACTATCCCCTGCTTTTAGTTTGGCTGCACTTCACCACTGAATCAAATGAGCTTGGAGCGGCTGCCACAGGGAAGGGGCAGCTGTGCACTGATCAGAAGATCGGCAGTGCGATCCCCGGCTACTCCAGTCAGTATTTAGAAGCATCCTTGGGCAATACGCTGAATTCCAAATTGCTCCCAATGGCTGCTCCAACAGTGTGTGAGTGAGTAAATGGTTACTGAATAGCAAGTGGCACCTTGTATGATAGCCTCGTCTACCAGAATGTGATTGTGTGTGTGAATGGATGAATGTGACTTGTAGTGTAGAAAGCACTTTGAGTGGTCAAAAGACTAGAAAAGAGCAATACAAACGCAGTCCATTGACCATTCACCACATCTTTCTACAGACATTGCAAAGCAACCCAATGCACTTTGCTCTGGTGTGGTGTGTTTCTGGGGGTGTTTATTATTAATAAAAATCTCATTGTGTACCTACTTTATGAAAGCACCAATTGTGTCTCAGTATCGATATCAAGGTAAAAACTATCACGATATCTGATTTTCTCCATATCGCCCAACCCTATTCACTCTTCTGATCTACACCCCACAAATAATCTAACAATACAGTCATAACTACTGACTAAACATACTTTCATTGGACAGTCCATATAGGGGGGCAAAGGTTCATCCCCAATTAGTGAGCATAGGCACCCGCTCCTGGTTCACATGTATGTACAAAGAGGTTGTAGGTCAGTTGGCTAAGCTGCATGCCTGGGATAAGCCCCCTCGCTAATAGAATAAGTTCCTCTCAATTAGATTTCTATTAGCAGAAATAATCTAGAGAAAACATGCAGACACTGAGGCACAGCAGATGTGGGCTACTGCTTTTAAAAACTGAGATGAACATAAACCGGTTTATCTGCTCATACAGTTCTGCTCATATAATCTGCTTATATATATTATATATAAATTTGCTGTTGCGTACTAATAGACATGAAATAGATGTAGTTTCTGGAAACAAAGTATGCAAACAAGTAAACAAGCATGTCGTTTTCTTTAACTTTGTGGGTTCTTTGATAAGACTGAGGATGATCATTATAATCCTTATCTTTAGGATAGCAGTAGCAGAATATAAATATGATATAACTATAATTTATATGATTCATACTTGCAGCATTATCATAAGCTGTCTTGCTGCATGTAGATAATTAGATAATTTAATGTGAACCAAACATGTAGCTGTAAATACAGCTGTAAAACATTTCACTGTCAGTGCTGTTTAGCAAAGATGAAAAGCACCTTATGATGAGTACACTTAGATATTCAGCTTTACTGATATAGGCTAGTGACATTAGAATATATAAATATATGAGTCTGCCAAAAAATGACAAATCATCTTACATCATTCATATCAAACGTTGTAAACATGGTCATCACGTAGGCATTTGAAGTATCCGACAGGTTGCTCAGGCCAAAGAACTTCTTGAATTCGTAAAAGGTGAGAAGTCCAGACGGGCACTCAGTCATGAATTTCCTGTACCACTGATGACTCTCACACGCTTGTAGTTCTTCCATACTCGACCCAGTGCAGTTCCCCATGTCTGTTTTTCAAAATAAAGATGTAAGAAATCCTGTAAAAACCATAACCAGAATCTGCTGCATCCACCGAGCATCCAGGCATGGCCTGTGTGCGGACTGCAAACAAGCAGCAGGATTCAGTGTGTGTCTGCGTCAGCCAATCAGGTCTCTGTGCGTCTGTGGGAACGGCTCAGAAGATGTAATCCACTTTGCTTGCCAGCAAAGACTTAACTAATGAAAAAGACCTAAGAGCAGAAATAATACCTTGTGTACAAAATGAGACCAGCTGATCAAAAATTAATATTCAAGATTTCTGACATTTATGAATCAAATATCAGTTGTCGCTGCACATTTACCCAGTTTATATTTAATCATTATTGTGCTTAATGAACTTTGCAACACAAATGGCTTCATATCATCACTCACCTGTGTGTACCTTCTCCTGTATTAAATCAGTTTGTGAAAGAATCGTCTCTTCTTCACACTTATTTTGGCCTTCAATAAGCAGCCTGCTTACAGACTGTGACAGTATTTTAATATTTATTCTCCTTGTTAATGTTTTCAAGCTTCTTTTTATTTCCTGCCTGTTTTGCATTTATGTACACGAGCTTGGATAGTATATAAAGAATGTGTGTACATAATTTGAGATATATATATATATATATATATATAATGTATATGTTGCTTTCCTGACATGCTCTGTTGATTCATACACAAGACTCTACAGCTCGTGGCTCTGTGAGGCTGTACTTGTTGCTCACATCAGCATGCTAACATGCTCACAATAACACTAGCATGTTGATGTTCAGTATGATGTGCATTTGCACTGTGTTGGTTTAGCATGTTAGCATGCCAACAGTTGGTAAACAGGACTAAAAAGGAAGTACAGCTGAGACTGATGAGAATGTCATTAGTTTCACAGGTCTTTGGTCATAAACTAAAATATGAAAGGAAATTTTGACCACATGTTGGCGATAGTGAAAAATCAGGATATCAAAGTTCTTACAAATCATCCTCTGGAGATTGTGTATACATCAAAATTTCCAACAAATCATCCAATAGTTGTCAAGATATTTCTGTGAAGAACTAAAGGTCAACTTCATGGTGGCACTAGCAGTAAACTAAGAGTTACACCAAAGTGAGTCGGATTCAGCCTCTGTAGACTGTGAAAGCTGGTACAAAATTTCATAGCAATTCATCCAATAGATCAGAGATACTCAGTGTGCTTTGAAAGTGGGCCACCTTTGCAAAATGACAGGAGGCCAGAGAGCAGTTAATAATCAAACATTAATAACGAATTTATAAATTATAAGCTCAGACCTGTGTGGGGGTCCTCTCTTGACCAGCTCTGTTTTGATGCTTTTTTATGCACTCTGGCAGCTTATGTACACTCTAAGTACAAAAAAATTCTCAGTGCGAATACATTTATTTTCATTGTGAGTAAGAAAATGGTCGGTGGGTCACCTGCACCTGGCACCCTATCGAGGGCAAGATTTGGCTTGTGCGCTGTAAACATAGCTGTGGATATATTTAAGTCTGCACCAAAGTGGTGGACCGACCAACCAACAAACCAGTGTCATCATCCCTAGAGCCACGCCACTAGCACAGCAAAGAAAAACTAAATCAGAAACCATAAATCATAAGGTGAGATTGACTCTATGTATGTGGATGTTCACCTGATTTACTTATGATGTTATGTCTCCCTCCCTGGGCCATGGTCTTTAACGCCAACGTACTATAACTTTCTCACAGGGGAAATGGGGGCCACAGATGCAGTTCAGAGGGAAGTCAACACTGTAAATGTATAGCTACCTGTGTTACAGCAGATATTGACATGACCTCAGCCTCACAGCGAGGGGGTCATCGACACATAGGGGAAAAGAGAAGGTAAACTCAGAGATGCATATAGGTACATAAACAAGGAAGCCAACCATAAAACGCAGCCTTAATATATTTTTTATAATATTCAAGACATAGTCTGGCAGTCTGCATGTACAGAGTTTAAACATAATTAGCCATATTCATAAATCTTCTTTCCTCAAATCCTCTCACCTAGTGATCTCTCAGCTTACCCTAGTTTCATTGGAGGAGTGGCAGTCAAAGTTGCTTTAGACCCTCTTAAAGCTCTTCCATCTGCTGTCAGATCCACTGCAGAGGCTGCAGGGATGGCAACAAATATTATCAGATAATAAATGAATCATGCAACACAGATGCATACAGTACGCAGCAACACATAGACCCCACTGTGGACAGTTTTCATTGGAGCCACTCTCTACTGAAGAAATTCTGCTGTCACAAAGAAACTACTACAAAAATGAAAGAATCTTCAGTTTCATTTTTTATTCATATATCATCATGATGGGATGCCAAAAATATTCACAGTCTTTCCATCTTCATTTTCTTTTACTTTAGTAGAATGGACATGTTGATGCCTGTGTGATTTGTGGATGGAATTACATAAGAAGAGGAGGAAAGCAGAATTTGATCAGTAAAAATGCTGTACACTGGTGCCTGTGTTAGCTCTCTCTGCCTTTAGGATGCTGCCATGTTTCAATAAAATATGATAAAAAAATGTATTAATTGTGTAAAGTGGTGTTGCTGCTTTTTAAGCTATTAGAAGACAAAAGAAACCTGTCATCACTGTGCCTCTGTGCACGTAATGAGCATCATGTGGCAATGAATAACTGAGTAAATGCCTGAATGATTAAATGAATGATGGTGTGCTCACATTTTATGATACCCTGGGCAGAGCTGAACTTTACTGTGTGATTAGCACTGAGAAGTTGGTTAAGTGTCAGCGACTCTTGCCAGCACATTCTTTACATTTCCACCAGCATCAGTCGGCGTGATAAATTCCCACCGAGGACAGAGGAACTGGACAGACCGGTCTGGTTTGTCTCCAGGACAAATGAGGTTTAGGTGCGACAGACAGACGTGAAAGAAAAACTTTGACTGTAGCCAAGAGGAAGAAAAAAAACAAGAGTGACTGGACAGCATGAATATTTTACAAACCTACTGTTATGTAATGAGAAGCACAGGGCCAAACTGCTGACTTAAAGTTTCTACACTATTTATGGATGATTACATCAGTTAAATAAATATTGGAATGTAAGTATTTCTCAGTATCAGTCTGATCAAGGAAACAGATTAGTTATTTGTTTATACAAACCAGTAGCGGAGAAATATTCAGGTCCTTTACTTAAGAAAAAGGTGTGATGCCCCAAAGTAAGAGTATTATCAGCTAAATGTTCTCACTACTTATTTACTTGTATTTGGAATTACATTTTTTAAGTGATATAATTTTCTAAAGCTGAGTTAATTAAAGAGTGTGAATGTATGGTCATCATATCAAACATGTGACAACAACAACAACAACAACAACAACAACAACAACAAAACAAACAAAGACACAAACAAAAAACCTTAACTCAAGGTCCCCTTACTGTGTTTTTCAGGTGCTTACAATGGAATCAGCGGTTAAGCTTTTATGGTATGTTGTTATACTGTGTTCTTACAGTACCAACAAATAGTTCCAATACTTAAAATAGTGCAGTGATATCACAGTATTTAGACCAAAGTTATAAGATTTTTTAATTTAATTTAATTTAATCAATTCAATCCAATTCGATTCGATTCAGTTCAATTCAATTGACTCCTACAACAACAATGAGCCCTCCTCTTTCCTGTGTTTCTCCACACCTCACTCCTCCATCACATCTCCTTCGATATTCCAGGGACAAGAAGACCTCCAACCCCAGGGCACCACGTTCATCACAGCACTCTGAAGACCGTGAGCTGAATGCTACTCTATGCCGCAGCAGTTTGTACATCAGGATCAGGAAATGAAAATGAAAGGAGTCCAACTTCGCTGCACTAAGACTCAACGGATGAAGCTCAACTGTTTTATGACATTTCATTATCATTCTGTGAATTGGAGATTGACACATTATATACATTACCATGATGGCACACCTGTGGTCTGTACATTTGTTTCAGTGAACTAGGTATGAACCAGTGTTTAGATTGTAGAATTTTTTATTTTTTTGTATTTTACAAAACAATAAAGAAGCAGTACTCAACAAAGTAACTGAAGCTGTAAAGTAGTGAAGGAAAAACATTTTAACAACATTATTATCCTCAGAAATGCCATGGAGTTTAACTTTAAAGTAGTAAAAACTTTTCTCCAGGTTCAACAAATACAGTACTTGAGTTAATGTATTTAGTTACTGCCAACCACTGGTGTTATCTTTGTGTAACTGTCACAGCCTCAGCCCCTCATGACCAAACACACATGATCGTTAAGCTCATATAAACAGACAGTCTGTGAATGCTGTTGTAGGTTTGCTGTCAGGGGGTCAGCTCAGTCTGATCTTCTTGATCCTCTTTAGCCTTCAACATCATCTTCACAGTTATCCTGCTTACAGAGGTCACATGTTTCACCATCCCTGGGTAAATAATACCACAGAGTTCATCAGGTGATACCTGAGTGCGGACGCAGATCTATAATCAAGATTAAGAAAGGATTCATTACAAAAACTTAATGTTTCAACCATGATTAATGAATAACTGAGCAAACATCCAGAGGGATTAATAGCAGAGTGCTAACTGATTTATTATGCTGAGGCTTCTAGCAAACTGTATGACAAAATGTTGTTAGAGGGTCATCGGTCTGGGCTCAGGACAAACAGCGGATCATGCTTTTACTGTTTTACAAAGGTTTTACATCCAACACTGTACAAACTCCTATAAAGCAGGTTGGTGCTACTTCATACTGTATATGTAGGTATCACACATGGGTGCTTTTGGATCCAAGGACATCTGTCACCAAAAAAGGAGGAAGAGGTTAGACTTGTAAAATTACTTTGTTATGACTTATTGACAAAGTAAATGACAAGTCCAACCTCTCCCTCCTTTTTGAGTCACTGTGTAAACTCCCACATTTAAAAAAAAAAAAACATTTATGGGCTGGTGTTTTTCAGAGTGAGGTAAAATACAATAAAAATGTGATACTATAGAATAAATTATAACATGTCAAATATGTACAATGAAGATATATTCATATATATATTTTTATAACAAACACTCTTATGGATTT